AACGCCTCAGGCCGCTGATGTTCCTCCTGGAGAACCTGATCCTCCTTTGTTTGGCCCTGGTGCGAGAAGGGTTATGGAAGGATGGTTACAAAGGGCACCGCTTCTACATGGGACGCAGGCTGTCGAAAGGCCCGCCACCGATCCGGGATCATCGAACTCCATACCGCGTGAAGTGGTTCAGGAGGAGGTCCGGAGACAGGTGACGGAAGCTTTGGGAACGCAACAGCGCTATATGGAAGAGTTGAGAGAAGAGAATCGCCGTCTTCGTGGGGAAATGGAGTTCCGAAGTGCACGAAGATTTGAAGGTGAGCGGGATGGCCAAGGGTTTCCAGATGGTCCCCGGGTCGGTTTCGTTGACAATGGTCGTGGAGTACCAGAAGGGCATCAAGCCGGTGTTCATGAGAGTCCAGAAGAACCTCGGGGGCATCGGGCTAGCGCTCAGCCTTTAGGTCATGGAGTACCAGGAGGGCATCATTCCGGTGTTCGTGAGAGTCCAGAAGAACCTCGGGGGCATCGGGCTTATCTGCAGCCTTTAGGTCACGGAGTACCTGGAGGGCATCATGCCGGTGTTCGTGAGAGTCCAGAAGAACCTCGGGGGCATCGGGCTTATCAGCAGCCTTTGAGTCCTGGAGTACCACAAGGGTATCAAGCCAGTGTTCGTGCGGGTCCAGAAGAACCTAGGGGGCATCGGGCTTATTTCCAGCAGTTTGGTTCTGAAGTGCTAGGAGGGCATCAAGCCGGTGTTCGTGCGGGTCCAGAAGAACCTAGGGGGCATCGGGCTTATTTCCAGCAGTTTGGTTCTGAAGTGCTAGGAGGGCATCAAGCTGGTGTTCGTGAGAGTCCAGAAGAACCTCGGGGTCCGTATCCAGAAGTGCGTGAAGGTCGTGGTGGTCTGTCTTCTGTGCCGAGTCTCAGCGGTGGTCCGAGGTTGCGCTCTTTGTCTCAGGACCCAAAGGGGAAACAAGCTCCCAGGGGACTTGCGGGCACCCAGAACTTCGAGTTTGGACCGTAAGACTTCGCCGCTAGGTCGTAGCTCCAAGCGTTCTTCTTCTCCTACTACGACTACTGGTCTTCCAGGTGCGCAGTTTGGATGGTTGCCGAAAAGGGATGGACATCGTGGTGATGGTGTTCCTGGTCTTGGAGCAGGTGGACTTGGAGTTCCCCCTGTTGAGGACTCCCGGACCTACGGTGACTATGGCTTTGAACGTCCGCCGGGCTTGGATGTGAAGACCCAAGGACCAGCGACCTCTGACGCCCCAGGTCCAACGGAGGCGGAAGTGAGGCCCTCACAACCAGAGGCGGAACAAGATGGAGGCCCAAGGACTGATGCGGCGACGAGCTCGGCGGCACCTTCACCTATCGATGTGCTGATAACGGGAATGAGCCAGTTGCAGCAGGTGTTGCTGAAGCAGCGAAGCGACGTGATCGACTTGGAGCCGAAGGCTGTGAGCGAGCTAGTGAAGCTCCCGGAGTACACTGCGGAGACCGGGGCCATCGACTTCCAGGACTAGCTGTACCTGGCTGAGCAGCAGATTGGCACACTGGCCTCAGGAGCGGGTGAATGGTGGGCTAAGACGCTTGCTGTGGCTCAGGCGGATGCGGAGTACCAGACTTTGTCACCGGTGAGAAGGTTGAGTGTGGCCGCTACGCTTACCCCGGAGCTCAAGGAGGACAAGTACAAGAAGTTGGAGCGAAAGGTCGCGGCCTTGGTCCTGGCTTCGCTCCCCAAGGGCGTGCGTGACGATCTGGTGGCGTACCGAGTTCAGGGTGTGCACCAGATTCTTTACAGGTTGATGGTGATCTTCCAGCCTGGCGGTGCTCAGGATCGGGCTCAGCTGCTGAAGCAGCTTGACGTGACAGAGTCCTCGGGAAGCCCTGCGGAAGCAACGGCGGCGCTTCGCCGATGGTACCGTCTGTTGCAACGTGCCGCAGACTTGGGAGTCACGTTACCAGATGAGTCTTTGCAGGTGAGGTCGTTGTCCGTGATAGTCCGACGAACAGCTGAGCAGAATGCTGACTTTAAGTTCCGTTTGGCTTTGGCGAGGACCGAGCTGCAGATTGACACTCGCCCCACGCAGGAGAATGTGATGAGGTATCTGCAGCACTTGCTTGCAGAGCTGGAGCAGCTTGGAGCGGTGGCGCGGAAGCAGGCTGCACCTTCGACCGGAGGAACTACGACGACTTCGCCCTCTACGGCTACTACTCCGGCATCGGGCGGAACTGCGTTGAAGGGGCTACAGCCTACACCGGAGCCGAAGGCGAAGCCGAAGGCTTCTCCGAACCGAAAGGTGTGTACCTGGTTCAGCTCAGACAATGGTTGTCGGAACGGGAAGAATTGCAACTTCCAGCATGTGTGGACTGGACTCAACCGCGGCGAACGTTGTCTACTTTGCGGCTCAAAACAACACCGCGCTAAGGAGTGCACAGCTGGCGGTTCGAGTACTACTACAGAAAGGCCCCAGGTCCCAAGGTTCAAGCTATGCAAGCTACAGCTACTTCCTCAAGCCAGGCGACTACGAGTACAGCTGCGGAGGGACCCGCGAATCCGGCGCCAACGGCTTCCTCTACTACCACCCCGACAGGTGGGGCGCACAACAAAATTGACACGGTGAAGGTCACCGAAATATTGAACGAGACCAACAAAATGTTGAAGTCTATAGCTGCTGCGAACTCCTCGGCAACAAGTGCACCGGCTGCACCAATGGACCCTTTGAAGTGCGGAGGCTGAAGGTGATGAGAGTGCGTGAGCCCTGTGAGGCTACATCCTCTTTTGCGAGTGCGGTGTCCTGGTACGAGACGAGACTGAGTTCTACTACGTTGGCCAGGTTGGATGGGCCCGAAGAGGAGGAGGCACTACTGGATAGCGGTGCTACCCACGCCTTTCGGCCCCCAAGCTCCGCGACAGAGCTTGATGATGCACGACGAGTGGGGGTGGCCTTAGCCACCGGTGAGGAACGATCGATCCCTCAGAACCGTGGAGGAACGTTGCTGTGCGAGTCGGGCAGCGAGGGGACGATACTCCCCATGGGTCAATTGGTGCGACTTCTTGGATGCCGGGTGACTTGGCAAACAAGTTGACTGTGGTGCACCCGGTACATGGCCGGCTTCAAGTGCGACTTCGGGGACACTGCCCGGTGGTTCCTGTGACCCACAGGCTCTTGACCTCATTGCGGAGTTGGAACAGAAAGGATGGCTTCGTTTGAGCAAACTGTCCAGGACCTTCAAAAGCAGATCAAGGCCATCCGTGACAATGGTTCATGTGCCTGGACTTGGGAGCAGCACTTGCGCGCTGCCCGTGAAGGCGGTGATCGGACACATGTGGCCGGCCTCTTGCACAAGAACCCGGTGTTTTCTACAGTGAGTGCAGAGGTGCTTCTTGGTGTTCCTGAAGGGGTTCCGCGTGGTGACCGTGATGGTTGGAATCTACTAAAGGGAACTCCGTGGTCCCGGGCGAAGCGCAAGGCTCTTTATCAAAGTGATGGTTGGGTCGTTCATTTGTTCTCTGGAGATGAGAGAAGTGAAGAGGCCAAGCGGCGCGATGCAGTGAAGAAGTCCTTTTGGAGTGAAGCTCTATCTGGCGATGAAGTGATGGTGGATGCGGACCTCACGGCCTCACGGTCTATGGACCTGTTGCAGCGGGACGGCATCTTTAAGGTGCTAGCGTGGGGAGCCCTCAACGGCAGGGTGAAGGCCATCATTGGGGGACCTCCGAGACATACGTTTCCCACGGTTGCTCAAGGTGTTCCTGTTGGCGGCCCGCACCTCAAGGAGACCCAGCTCATTGTGAAGATGATGTTGTTGTTCTACATGGCCCAGGAAGGCAGAACAGTTTTGTGGCGAGCTGGGGGTGTGAGAACTATGGTGAAGCCGCATGTGGGTTATTTCCTGTTGGAGCATCCTAATAAAGGACCGGGAGGAGAGCGACTTTCCTTCTTTGATACTCCTTTGTGGAAGGCCTTTGCAATGGACTCCTTGATGGGGGAAGTTCCTTGTTTCGTGAATGAGAAGGAGGTGATCTTGGGGGGCAACATGAACCTTTGGCATCTACGTGATGCACGCCTGGGTCCCGAAGGTTCTCGTGATCAAGGGTCGATATGGCCGTTGGAGTTGGTTGCGCATGCGGCTTTTGCGGTGAGAGCATGGGTGGGCCTTCGCAACCACGAGGGTTTCCTCTCTTCTTTGGTCAATCGATCTTGGTTGAAAGACCCCGAGCCTCTACAGTTGAGTAAGTTCAATGTCCGTGAGTGGCAGCTACATGTTCAACGCGACCACCTTCCTTATCGCAAAGACTGCAGGATCTGCATCGAGTGAGCGAGCGGCAAACCTCACAGGAAGGTCTCGCACCCTTCTGCTTACTGCCTCTCTATTGATACCGCGGGACCTTTCAGGAATGTTGGAGCAGGGGGATACAAGTACCTGCTCGTTGGTTGCTATCGACATCCCAAGTTGTTGGGAACATCGCCTGAGGAGGAGCCTGCGAAAGGGCCGTCTGCAGCTGAGGTCGTTCCTCGTCCTGATGATGGAGAAGATTGGTTGGGAGAAGACCTTGAAGCAGCAGAAGATGAGGTTCCTTTAGTTGCCGAAGAACATGAAGGTGGAGTTGGTTATGTGGATCCAGGACCTCCTGATGCTGATCATGAAAGGGATGGTGAGATTGAGGCCTTGAAGGAGCTCGCTAAGCCCCTGGAGTTCGTTTCTGTGTATGTGGCCAAACCTATGAGGTCCCGCAAGAAGGCAGAGACTTTGAAGGCCATGCAGGAGCTCTACATACAGCTGCGCAGTGCTGGTTTTCCGCTGGGGAGAATACACATGGACCGTGCGCGTGAATATCAATCCAGCGCCTTTGAACACTGGGCGGCAGCAAGGGACATTGAATTGTCCCGCACCCAGGGAGATGATCCGTCCCAGAACCGGACCGCTGAGAGGGCAGTGGGTTATGTGAAGATGCGCATGAGGGTGTTGCTTGCTCAGGCTAAAGAACTCAGCGGTGCCGATGACGAGGTGATCAAGGGATGGTGGGCTATGGCGGCGGAGACGGCTGTTTCCCAACACCAGGCGTTAGCTATGGGTCGGAAGTTTCCATCTGCGGCTCGATTCGGTTCGCGGGTGTTTACGAGGAGGAAGGGCTATGGTGCTGGTGGTACGGACCTCAAACCAAAATGGATTGGTGGGGTCTACCTTGGCCCCGCTCGCTCTGTGCCCGGCGGACACATGGTGTACACCGATGAGGGCAACCTGTGGTTCACTACGAATATACGTCAGTTTGAAGAGCGTGATCCAGGAGCGGATGGTGCTTCGGAACCGGCGCCCTCACCACCTGATCTACTACCAGCGCGACGTGTGAGGGGAAAAACAACGGCGGTGTTAGCGAGTGGAGCTAGTCTACTACCAGGAGCCGCGGATGGTGGTCCTCGGGAAGGTCCTGCTGTGGGGGCGTTGAGCTCCTTAGTTGGCTTGGCTAATTCCTCGGATTCGGATGCAGATGATGAGTCGTGGTCTGTGGTTTCCAATGGTCCCAGGCTGTGTGAACTAGAAAACCAAGTTTCTTCCTCGCCTTCTACTACAAGTTCAAGGGGGCGAAGCGGTTTTGCTGAGCGCTTTGCGAAGGAGAACCGTTTTTCCATGGAGGATTGCCTGAAGGTGTTGGAATCGGAGCCCTTTGTCAAGACCAGAAAGCAGCGGGCTACAGCGTGGGGTGGCAATGGGCCACCTCCTATCCACACCACCCTTGGTGCTTACCAACGTGGTCCACACATTGGTGTGACCAACGCTACCGGCCGCCATTCGGCCCTCTCCCACTACCTCGCTGAGTTCATGAAGAAGTCTTCTGTTGTTAATTGTGAGTTTACGTCGATTACGGTGGCTCGTGATCTATGTACTGATGTGCATTGTGATCGGTTCAACATGCGAAACTCTACCAACTATGTGCTGACTTTGGGAGAGTTCAAGGGGGGTGGCATTTGGCAGCAGGGTTCCAACAATGAGTTTGCCGACGTTGCGGTCGAGACTGCTTCAGGGGATGTGCTCCAAGGCCATGTGATCCCGGTTAAGGGCCGAGTCGTCAAGGTTGATCCGAAGCGACTACACCGAACCATGCCCTGGGAGGGTGGCCCGAAGTGGACTGTGATAGCCCATACCATAGGGGCTCGGGGGAAGCTTGAGGATTCGGATGTGCAAACCTTGAGTGCTTTGGGGTTCCCGCTATATGCTCCCTCTGTGAATGCCTTGGTTGACCTTCCTGAAGAGAACCCGGTTGTGGATGCAGCCTCTTGCGCAAAACCTTGGCGTCATCTCCTTTCTGAGCACGAGCTTGAGGAGGAGATGCAGAGTCGCTTGTGGACCCGGAGAGTTCTTGATGAGGAGGAGCAGTTAATGCAAGTGATTCCCAAGGACCTGGAGCTGGACTATGAGGGGGTGATCCAGGCCAACCAGGAGGCAGCCGATGGGCTTTATCTTCGTGAAGTTCGCTGTGTACCTGAACGTTGGGATGAGGAGCAGTGGCTGGGCCTGTGTCGCATGACCGAAGGTGAGGAGGAATCGTTCGGGGTGGAGACCATGCTTGAGGAGTTGCGTGAGCCCTTGCGGGTTGTCTTCACTGTTGCCTTGGATGAGGTTAAGAACTATGCTTCTCGTTGGTCAGATGCTATGCACAAGGAAGTGAAGGCCCTACTCGATGCGGGAGCTTTGGTTCCCCTCACGGCGGAGGAGCAAATGAAATTAGAGGCCTCTGGGAAACTGGTAGTGCTCCCTGCAAAGGGGGTATTCACTACAAAGCCGCCAGATGTGGAAAAGACGGTTGATGATGAGGGAATTCCACTTCCTCGAGGCTCGCCGCACTTTGTCAAGCGCAAGGCGAGATTGGTTATATGCGGCAATTTTCAGGGACGCCAAGCCAGAGAAGACTCATACGCGGGCGGCTGCCAGATTGACTCCTTGCGCGCTATGTTGGTTCTGGCAGCGTTTCGAGGCTGGCGCTTGGCCTCCACCGACATTCGGAATGCCTTCATCCTTGCTCCGATCAAGGACGAGGAAGATGATGATGATGGCACTGTTTATGGGTTGTTCCCACCGAAGGTGTTCCAGATGGTTTTGGTCCCCTACTGCTATCAACTGTGGCGGGTAGATCGGGCTCTTTATGGATTCAGGAGGAGTCCAAGGCTATGGAGCCGATTCCGAGACCGGCGCCTACGTGATGCTCGGGTACCGTGCGGCCTTGGACATCTTCGACTTCGCCAAAGCCGAGCAGATGCAATTTTTTGGGCCATTGTGTACGAAGGGGCCAACGGGGAGTCCGAGGTTCGGGGCTCTATGAACATTTATGTCGATGATGTTCTGTATGGGGGCAGCGAGGACGAGATCCTTTTGGTCCAGCAGTGGTTGACCTCGGAATGGAAGGCCTCGGATCTCACCTGGGCCACCGAGGACTCGGTGCTTCGTTTCCTTGGCTTGGAGATCATGTTGGTGAAGGACGGGGTCAGCAAGCCTTTGTCGAGGAGTTGATTCGACACCACAAGCTACAAGATAGCAAGGGGTACGGCACCCCTTGTCCTCAAGAGTGGTTGCTTGGTGAATGTGAAGAGGCGACGGTTGACTACACCCCCGAACAACTTCGTAGGGCCCAAACCCTGACTGGAGAGCTGTTATGGTTGAGTGGCCGGAGCCGTCCAGACATTATGCACAGTGTTTCGACAATGTCGTCATTATGCGTCAAGAATCCGGAGTTGGTTGAGAAGATTGGCCTCCGTGTTCTGGGGTACTTGAAGGCTACAGCAGGAGTTTGTCTGTGGTACCGCCCTACGAACTCAGAGTACGAGGTGACGGGCTACTCCGATGCTTCCTTCGCTCCTCTTGGAACGCGGTCTGTGGGATGCTCCGTTGCTTGCTACCTTGGATGCCCAGTGAGTTGACGATGTGGCCGACAGAGTATTGTCTCCTTGTCGGTTGCGGAGGCGGAACTACTTGAAGCAGGGAACTGTGTCCAGCTGATGCTGGGACTGTCGAGCTTTGTGGAAGAGCTTCAACGCGATAAACCGCGTCACTGCTTGCGAGTCGACAATCAAGCTGCCGTCGGTCTTACAACCGAAAGCTCTGGGACGTGGAAGACGCGCCACCTTCGTGTGAGAGCTTTCGCCCTGCGTGAAGCAGTGCGTCAGGAGGAGCTACGCATCACCGACATCGAGGGCTTACGACAACTTGGTGACTTGGGAACTAAGTGTTTCCATAAGCCCCGGCTGGAGCAGCTTCGTGATCTGTGGGGTTTGTGGAGTGGCTGTCCTTCAGCTACTACGACTGGCGGGAGCGAATCGTCTTCTACCACAACAACGAGGGCCTCTACCGTAACCTCGGCGGTGAATGGTGTTGCTGGGGTTCTTGCAAGGCTTACGTTGATTTTGGGTTGGTTGGTTCAGGGATCAAGAGCTTCAGATGATGGTCCAAAGCCGAGCTTGGAGCTCAGCTTCGCCTGGGAGCTCTACGGGCTAGCCATCCTGGCGGTGATTGCGGCCATTGGCGTCTGGGAGCTAATGAAGTGGCTTCTGGGACGTTGCTTTGGTGCTCGCGATGATTTTTCGGAATCCAGGGAGGCTCGGCGTCTTCGGAAACTACAACAAGCTGTACATGAAGAAGTTGGAAAGTATGGGCTGGAAGTAGGCGTAAAGGTGTCCTCGTCTACCGGGCCTGCCGCTCAACAGCTACCCGTACTGGATGTTCGTGAGGAGCGCCCTTCTTCATCAAGGGCACGCCTTGTTACGCGGGGCAGTCAGACTGACCCGTTTGATGATGGTATGCGCCAACATGCTGGTCCCTTCTTTGCGAGTGAACAGGGTGATCGAATTCACCATGACCCGAATTGTAGGGGCCTGCGGAACGCAGTCCATCGCACGAGGCGCTTGACCCTTTGTGCCTATTGCTATCAACGATGTCCCCTGTATGTCTCGAACGACTTGTAAGGTGGACTGATGGCAAGCACTCCCATAGTCCAAGGAGGAGTGATGGGATTCTGTAAGTGAGTGTTAGCCTCGCAACACAGACATGTGCACAGATGCTGTCTGAGAGAGGTTGCATGATCGGCAGAAGCCAGCATGCCATGATTGGCTCGTGGCTCAAGATGCAAAAAGTGAGGGCCGCTGAAGTGAGAGCCCCTGCGGGGCTCGTTGGTAAGCGGTTTCGTGTTCTGCGGTTGGGGTTAGGCTTCCGAGAGTTAAGTTTCTCCTCGAGGCATCTTAGACTTTGTCAGGACCCTTCAGAAGGTTGTCAAGATTTCGTTCTTAAGAAGACGTAGATTTCTCAGCATGGATTCGTCAAGTGCCCGTTCCGGTCGTGAAGATCAACATAGTAGTAGTAGTAGTAGTAGTAGTAGTAGTAGTAGTAGTAGTAGTAGTAGTAGTAGTAGTAGTAGTAGTAGTAGTAGTAATAGTACTGGTAGTAGTAGTAGTCGTCGTAGTAGTAGCAGCAGCAGCAGTAGTAGTAGCAGTCGTAGTAGTAGTAGTAGTAGTAGTAGTAGTAGTAGTCGTAGTAGTCGTGGTCGTAGTCGTGTCGTAGTGGCTGTCGCTGTCGTAGTCGTAGTCGTAGTAGTAGTAGTAGTAGTAGTAGTAGTAGTAGTAGTAGTAGTAGTAGTAGTAGTAGTAGTAATAGTAGTAGTAGTAGTAGTAGTAGTAGTAGTAGTAGTAGTAGTAGTAGTAGTAGTAGTACTAGTAGTAGTAGTAGTAGTAGTAGTAGTAGTAGTAGTAGTAGTAGTAGTAGTAGTAAAGCGCCACGAGCGGCTCAGACTGAAGGGGGGGGGCATGGTCCGATCTCCCACACGATCTGCGCGGTAGAGCGTTTGCTGTGAACTCCTGGCAGATCAATTGTGCTGTGCGTGCCTGCAAACAGAGCATAGCCAAGATAGCGCTTGAATTGTTTACGCCTACTGGTCCAGACGTGCTGCGAGAGAAATTTACCAGGACGCCATTGAGAATTCTTTCTGTGTCTGATTGCTGGCTAGTGGCAGCGCGCCCCGAAGTCTAGAATCAGCCTGGAAGAAACAGCAGTGAATGGGGTTCCATATTTTCTACGGACTATCGACCTCTCCGTATCAAGAAGATCCTGTATACAACGAGAAAGACGAATTTTTACCGCCTGCATCCGATGCAGACATCAGATCTACCATTCGTGAAGAACGGACGCACATCACGATCAGAAGCTCGGCCCGGTCCCAAGTCCGGGACTTGCAGACTCATCAAGGCCTAAAGGGCGGACAGACGACTGCCAGTGGCGTGAGGGTTGGCGTTGTGGCCTCACACGCGCCTGGAATCCCTTCCGCGGAAGGGATGAACAACGAGGAAACCAGGCCTTCTCGGAAAAGAACCACAGCGGAGCGCGTGCGGAAACGCACGTACATGAGAGCACTCCGACGAGCGGCTGAACAAGGTGAAGCGATGTACAAGGGAAGAAAGATCCGGATCAGGCGAGAATTCATTCCACCCGATTCCCACAAGGTGTCGCATGCATCGACGGCGCCTCGACTGCAAACTTTCACGTGGAATTGCTCAGGGCTGAGTGAAGAACTGTATCAAGAATTCCTTCAGTGGCTGCCGACCCAGCCGCACCTCAAAGTGGTACTGCTGCAAGAAACGCATTGGCCTTACAGCAATGACTGGCAGAGAAACGGCTGGTACTTTGCACACAGTGCGTGCACAAAACAGCGACAAGGCGGACTCTTGATCGGCATAAAAGCAAGCATCACAGATTCCAGATGCATACGCTGGAAGGATCCGGTCCCCGGCCGGCTCATGATGCTGCGCTGCGTTGTAGGAAAGCAGCAGGTTGATATCATCAACTTGTACCAGTTTGCCTGGAGTGCGAAAACAGCGGAGCAGACAGCTGCGCTTATAATACAAAGCGTGCGGGCTTGTGGAAGGAGTTTGATGCTCTGCTAGACTCCATACCATGGCGATCGTCACTGATAGCAGCGGGGGATTTCAATACGACAATGCGCCCAGAGAAAGGTGTGTCAGGCTACGGTATTCATTCCGGAGGACGCAACCTGAGGTTTGTCAGGACAGAGCTCAACTGATGCGAATCTTGGCAAGGCATGGGCTATGTGCGCTGAACACCTGGGGATCACCTGCCTACACCTACCAGCATCCTCAAGGACAATCGCAAATCGATTATATTTGTGTTAGAAAAGAGGCGGCTGATGGAGTGTCCAAACAGTGCAAGCCTGAGCGGTCCTTGTTGGCCGGATGGAGATCTGCGGGGCACCTTCCATTACGGGCTAACTTGCGTCTCCCATGGAAGCCTTGGAAATCCTCGTCGGCACCGACAGCGAACCCTGGCGGTACAGATTCCATACTGCGTCCATCGCTTACTGAAGCTTGGTCAATTCAGGAAATTCAAGGTTGCCTTCGTAGGGATTTCCATTGTCCTAAGCCTGTATACCTCAAACAGCCTCCTGTGGAAGCGAAAGAAGGGGTAACTACATATTGGCAAGCCCGCAGACGGTTGATGCACAAATCTGGGGTGAATCTAATGGCCGCGTGTTTTCACGCACTGCGACTGCATCGTGAAATGCATGCTGCGCATCGGCAGCTCAAAAGACAGGTGAGAATCGCGAAGAGGCAGAGAACGCTCAAGATTCTGGAGTCGGCCGAGATTGCTGCTCAAAGAGGGGACGTGCGAGGAGTATATCAGTATGTACGTCAGTTGGCTCCAAACAAGGCATATACCAAAATACGCCTTCGAAATCACGAGGGGAACTTGATGACACCATCTCAGGAGTGCAAGATGCTGGCCCAGTACGCCCGTGATCTCTTCAGGGGGACCAACTTCGACCTGCCTCCACTCAGGCCTTTGCCGAGTCACATGTTTCGGGAGTCTGAATGGGTTGAGGCCTTCAGTAAACTTAAAAATTACAAGGCTGTTCCTGTCGGGTCGGCGGAAGTGGTATCATGGAAGCAGCAGGTCAGCATCGTTGCGCCGAAACTGCAAGAGATAGCTCAACAGGCATTGTCAGGTGCTCAACCCTGGATTCCTGAAGACTGGTGCAGGGTTCAGCTGGCATGGCTACCGAAACCTACCAAAACCCCTGATTCTGCGAGCAACCTGAGAACAGTTGGCTTGATGACTCCAGACCACAAGGCATTCCTCACCATTCTGAAAAAGTTTGCGAATCCATACGTCCAGGCCCTCATGCAGAAGTATCCACAATACGCTTATCGTGCAGGCGCATCGACAGCCGATCCAATATTGAGAGGAAGCTCTCGCTGTCATGCTGTACGTCAGGCACTGGAGGGCTGCGCCACGGACCTAACGTCAAAGATCCTCAACAAGGCTCAGCCAGCATTACGCGGGGGGTTGATGATCAGTCTAGACCTACATAAAGCCTTCGATGTGCTGGCGTTCTCTGAGATGCACGCTGCTCTCATTGAAACTGGCATGCCAACGGAGTTAGCGGTGATGATTGTCACGGTGCACAAACACACGGAGCTTCACATCCGACATTGTGGCGAACATGAAACTGC